ATTATCGCTCCTCCTCCTCTTCCTCCTTCCCTTTTTCCTGTTCCTCGTCTTTTCCCTCCTCCTCCTTCACCACCCCCTCCTCCTCCTCCTCCTCATCTTCCCTCTCCTCCATCCCTTCTACCCTCTCCCTCCCCCCTCCTTCCGCCCCTAATCACTCATATCATTTACTTTACACAATGAAGCGCTCCCAGTGTCCAACATCCTCCAGGAGTCTTACGCCATTCTTATCTTTCCTCTTAAGTTAGATTTAAAAAAAAGACGAACCTATTTACCTTAAGTTCTGACGGTATTCTAAAGGCTATTGTTTGCTTTTGTGTGTGTCTCGAGTAAGTATCATTGAGTTGTGTCTTAATAGCTTAAAATAAGGGAGTAAAAATGTCATGTACGAGCTATTTTAGGAATGCCAACTGATGCGTAATTCGAGGCGAGAAAAAATTTTACAATGTTGACAGTCGTTAGTTTATATATGACAAGCTGGTGTGTTTACGTAAGCTTGAAAGGTGAAAGCTCAAGACCACACACACACACACACACACACACACGTTTGAGGAGACCGTCACCTGGTTAAAGCTGCCACCTGTTACCTGGAATCTTACCTGTCTTCAAGGTATATTTACACTAATATTTATTTCCCCTTGCCCACCTTCCCACTAACAAGTCTACGGTCTTGGCGCACCCACATTCAACCACAAACCTTTATATAGGCCTACCTGTATTTTGGTCTCCGTCGATGAGTTAGGCGTATTTTGTATATTATATTATATTTTATTTTTTAGTTTAGTTTAGTTTAGTTTAGTTTAGTTTTTTAGTTTATTATTTCTTCCCAGTTGAGTAAATGAACGAAAAATAGAGTAGCCTAATGTGTTTACTTGTTCATGATGCATTAATAATAACACTCACTGCTAAATCCTTTACGTGTACAAAAAAATAAAAAAATACCAACTAAAAATATTGTTGAAACAGCAAAATTACACAGAACGTAATTAAATACAACACGAGGATAATTAAGAAACTTTTGTAGTTAATATTTCGTTAAAGGCGACGGCGGCAACAACACCTCATATGGCAACACTTTTCTTAACGTTGCCAACTAGTAAATACTGACAACTTTTACTTTTTTATCTTTAAACGATCGCTACAAGAGAGAGAGAGAGAGAGAGAGAGAGAGAGAGAGAGAGAGAGAGAGAGAGAGAGAGAGTCCACTGGTGTAAAATATTTTCCCTTACCTCCTTGGCGACTCACAGATGACATTTGGGGGTTATTGAATTTCTGTTTCACTTTGTTTATATCATATTTGTGGCCGAAATCTTTGGCTCTCTCTCTCTCTCTCTCTCTCTCTCTCACAAGAAATAGAACTCCTCTCCTCCCCCTTCCTTCCCCACCACCTAATCCCCTCCCCCCCACTACCCTCACCCCCTCACCCTTCCCTGGTGAGAAAATGTCCAGAAAATATCACCAGTTTTGCACAGAAAGTATAAGGAAATGTTTGAGCATTTTTGTCGGAGCATTTATGGAGCATTTTTGACGTTGGGTTAGATGAAACTTTCAACGCTATGGGATGGAGAAAAAAAATATATATATACACGAAAAAAATCTACAGAATTTTTTTTAGGTATATTTTACTGAGGTTTGGATATAAATGTCGGGAAAATACTCTCGGGGGCATTTATCTCCCGAAGGTGTGTGTGTGTGTGTGTGTGTGTGTGTGTGTGTGTGTATGAGAGTCATTTATATGTATACCAAGGAGCAACATCACCATGTGTATTATTTTCTATTTTGAACAGGATATCTATAGGTCTCTCTCTCTCTCTCTCTCTCTCTCTCTCTCTCTCTCTCTCTCTCTCTCTCTCTCTCTCTCTCTCTCTCTCTCTCTCCCCTCTCTCTCTCTCTCTCTCTCTCTCTCTCTCTCTCTCTCTCTCTCTCTCTCTCTCCCCCTCTCTCTCTCTCTCCGCCGGGTATCGTGATCAGCACCAGCACAGTATTAGCGCCACACGTCCCCCTGACATATTTCACCCTTACCCGTCCCTCGTATAAAAATCTATTTCGTTTCCATAAGCACACATATTTCTTCCACCTGCCACTGCTTTAAAAATCTATTCCGTTTTATCGTTCGCCAACTGGGTTTTAAAAATGGTGTCCGGAGATGTGAGAAGATTTTTTTTTTTTTTAGGATTTTTTTTGAGGTGTTTTATATTGTTTATTAGGGATTGTATCAGTGTATTAGTGCACGTTTGTTATAGTGTCAAGGAAAAGAAGGAATTGAATTTCTTTTCTGAGTCGTTCTTTCATTAATTTCTTATGTGTTTAAATTTAATAAAATGTTTGTTGGTGTCATTTTTTATATATATATTTTTTTTCGTCTTTTGGTAATGTGAAGTTGTTGTTGTTGTTGTTGTTGTTGTTGTTGTTGTTGTTATTGTTGCTTAATTTGTGTTATTTCATCGTTCTTTCTTCCTTGGCTCTCCACCTATCCCTCTCACCCTCCCCTCTCTCCCCCTTCCCTCTCCCTTCCCTCTCTCTCCGTCCTCTCCCCCAGGCCCTTTAAGCAGAGGAAACAGAAATAAACACGAAGGTACAGAAATAATGTGATAAATATATATAGAGAGAAAATATAATAAACGCGGGAAGTAGAAGAAAATAAGAAATAAACATATAATTAGAGACAAGATAAGATCAGAAGATAGGGACAGCGAGAGGAACAACGATAAATGTAGAGATATAAGATAAGAGATAGGCGAGGAGAGATAAATAGAAGGAATAAGTGATGAGAACAGGGAAAAGGCAAAATGAGGAATAAGAACAGAGGGGAAAGAGAGAGAGGAAGTAATAAACTCGAGAACCAGAAACGTGAGAAACTAATTTTAGAGGTAAACAGTAAGAGATATGATAACGACGATAAATAGGGAATATAAGTGATAACGCAAACCAACAGACAGACACAAAATTACACATAAAGAAAAACGCACACACTTATAAATAACTCCACACACACACACACACACACACACACACACGTAATGGGGCTCTATTGCGTTACAGCTCCAAGATGGGCGACCAAAATGACGTTAGAATTACACTGAGTCTAATATATCTGTTACCTTCTCTTACCTCCACCTGACACATAATCTTTGGTGATTCCGATAAAAAGATAATTGATTTCACCTGAAGATTAGACATCCTAGCTAGTTTCACCTGAAGATTAATCACCTTTGAAGTTACCTGGAGGGGGTATGGTAGGGTAGGTTAGGGTGGGGTAGGGTAGGCAGGGCAGGTTAGGTGGGGCAGGGCAGGGCAGGGTAGGCAGGGTAGGGTAGGCAGGGTAGGTTAGGGGTGGCAGGGTGGCCAGGTGGCAGGGCAGGCAGGCAGGGCAGGTGTGGGCAGGCAGGGTGGCAGGCAGGGCAGGGCAGGGCAGATCAGGGTGGCAGGGGCAGGCCAGGTGTGGCAGGGCAGGTAGGCAGGCAGGTTAGGTGGGGGCAGGTGTGGCCAGGGTGGGGCAGGGCAGGGTGGGCAGGGCAGGGCAGGGCAGGTTAGGGCTGGGTAGGGTAGGGTAGGGTAGGTAGGGTAGGGTAGGGGTAGGTTAGGTGGTGGGTAGGGGTACGGTAGGGTAGGTAGTAGGGTGGGTAGGGTGGGGTAGGGTAGGGTGGGGTAGGGTAGGGTGGGGTAGGGTAGGTTATGAGAGAACAAATTGCACTTCTGGTTGACTCTGTGAAGACGATGAGCATTTTTTTTTCAAGTAATTAAAACATTTCAACAAGACTTTAACTTTGAGCTTAAACTCCCATTAAAAAATAAAAAATAGGAAAATGTTGTAGAGCGAGAATGTGAATTTGTGCCGTTGAGAGAGAGAGAGAGAGAGAGAGAGAGAGCACCACACACACCACCACCCTACCAGACATACACTAAAACGGACACGCTGCCCTCATATACAATAAAGAAAGTAGACATAGTAGACCTTTCTCTCTCTCCTCCTCCCTCCCCCTCCTTCTCTTCCTCCTCCTCCTTCTCTTCCACCTCCTCCCCGTCCTCCTCCTCTCCTCCTCCACCTCGGCAGTAGCGGGATGATGAGGCGATAATGTTGCTCTCACTGATAAGGTAAAGAGCCGTATCAAACGTTCCTCTCGATCGTCCTCTTAAAAGATAAACGATGAGGGAAGGATAACATCAAAATCGCGACGTCGACAGAATGTAAGTAAAATCAACTGCCTCTCCCATTTGCTTCCCGAGTGAGAGCAGGAGGAGGAGAAGGAGGAGGAGCAGGAAGAGAATGAGGAGAGGCAGAAGGAAGAGGAAAAGAGGAACAGGTGGAGGAAGAGAAGAAACAGGAGGAGGAAGAGAAGGTACATAAGGAGGAGAGTCTCTGTTGACAAAATCAAATCACAGAAAACGAAGGCCTCTGGAATCATTGGAGGGGAGACACTGCCGCTGGTCCTGATTGCGTTTCGTCAGTGGGGAGACAACGACCTTTAGCTACATTACAAAAACTTTTATTTTCGGACAACTCTAATATGTTAAATTTGTTCCGTTTCACTACTCGAAAGAACAAAAACTAATATAACTTGGTCTTTTTCTTCTCTGTTTATGTCTGTGTTTATGTCTGTGTTTATGTCTGTGTTTATGTCTGTGTTTATGTATGTGTTTATGTCTGTGTTTATGTCTGTGTTTATGTCTGTGTTTATGTCTGTGTTAGAATCTGTGTACATCTTCTGTGTGTTTGTGTTTGTTAGTAGCCCATCCGAGGAACGATAACAACTAAAATTGTCATTGCAAAATCTACAAGTTTTTTAAACCCGTCTTAAAAAGTGACAGACAAACTGACAAATAAACAGACAGACAGACAGACAGACAGACAGACAGACAGACAGACAGACAGACAGGCACACAGACAGGCAGGCAGGCAGACAGACAGACAGACAGACAAACAGACAGACAGACAGACTAAAAGATAGATGAATAAAACTCCATAAAGATGCTCAAGCAAGCTCCTCCTTCTCTTCTAACAGGTGGTCCTCCAAGACCTTCGAGGACGACCCTGTACACCTCCACACTCTCCCGCCTACTGCTGCAGATGGTGACGAGGCAGATGGTGACGAAGGGACAGGTGGTAGAGCAGCTGGTGACGAAGAGACAGGTGGTAGAGCAGCTGGTGACGAAGTAATAGGAGTTGGCACAGCTGGTGACGATGAAGATGATGGAGGGGCAGCTGGTGACGAAGAGACAGGTGGTGCAGCAGCTGGTGACGAAGAGACAGGTGGTGCAGCAGCTGGTGACGAAGAGACACGTGGTGCAGCAGCTGGTGACGAAGAAGCGGGTGGAGCAGCAGCTGGTGACGATGGGACAGGTGGTGCAACAGCTGGTAACGATGAAACAGGTGGTGGAACAGTTGGTAACGAAGAAGCAGGTGGTGCAGCAGCTGGTAACGATGAGACAGGTGGTGCAACAGATGGTGACGATAAGAAAGGTGGTGGAACAGCTGGTGACGAAGAAGCAGGTGGTGCAGCAGCTGGTGACGAAGAAGCAGGTGGTGCAGCAGCTGGTGACGATGGGGACAGGCAGCAAAGGTGAAGAAGAAGCAGAGGGTGCAGCAGCGGTGATGATGTGATGTAGCAGCAGACGATGGTGGTGCAGCAGCTGGCGACGAAGAAGCAGGTGTTGCAGCAGCTGGTGACGATGAGTCAGGTGGTGCAGCAGCTGGTGACGAAGAAGCGGGTGGTTCAGCAGCTGGTGACGATGAGACAGGTGGAGCAGCAGCTGGTGACGAGACTAGTGAGGAGTCAGAGGAATTGACACGACCACAGATGGATTCAAAGCCAGCTGAGATCTACAGTGGCCAGGTGGGTGCTGCACCCCCTTCACACCACCTGTAATACCACCTTCACACTCTCACACCACCTGTAACAACATCCTCATACTCTCACACCAGCTGTAACAACATTCTCATACTCTCACACCAGCTGTACTACCACCCTCACACCAGCTGTAATACCACCCTCACACTCCTACACCAGCTGTAATACCACCTTCACACTCTCACACCAGCTGTAATACCACCTTCACACTCCTACACCAGCTGTAATACCACCTTCACACTCTCACACCAGCTGCAACAACATCCCCACACTCTCAACCACCTGCACACCACCCCTCACACCACCCAACAACCACACCCCACACCACCTGTACACCACCCCTCACACCCCACACCAGCTGCACACCAACCACACCCACACCAACTGCACACCACCCCACACCCCACACCCCTACACCAGCTGCACACTACCCCACACCTCTGCCACCAGCTGCACACCACCCCACACCTCACACCACCTGCACACCACCACACCCTCACACCCCACACCACAACGTACACCACCACACTCTCACACCACACACCACCTCACACCTCACACCCCACACCACACACCACACCCACACCAGCCACACCAGCCGTACCACACCACACCAGCTGCACACCAAATCTCACACCCCACACCACCCGGGTAATACCACCTCACACTTTCACACCAGGCTGCACACCACCCCACCCTCACACCAGCTGTAATACCACCCTCACACTCCTACACCACCTGTAATACCACCCTCACACCAGCTGTAATACCACCCTCACACTCTCACACCACCTGTAATACCACCCTCACACCAGCTGCAATACCACCCTCACACACTCACACCACCTGTAATACCACCCTCACACTCTCACACCACCTGTAATACCACCCTCACACCAGCTGCAATACCACCCTCACACACTCACACCACCTGTAATACCACCCTCACACTCCTACACCAGCTGTAACACCATCAGAATTTCCTGTAATTAGGCCCCAGAATTAATGGCTTAGTTTGGTTTACGATAATATTCTAAGTTTTGAGAAGACATTAAATTTGCATAAGAGATAAAATTTACTAGTCTTGAAGTGCCTCATCTCTCACTTCTTGCTTCATTCTTGCTTCTCCTCATGCTTCACTCTTGCTTAATTCTTGCTTCATTCTCGCTTCACCTCTTGCTTCATTCTCGCTTCATTCTTGCTTCCACGTGTCTCATGCTTTTATTTCCATTGTCTCTCATTCTCCTCATTTTTTAACCTCGTCTCAATTTCCTCATTTTGTTGGTTACTCCATTCTTTCAATATCTCTCATTTACTTCATTATTTTCTTCACTTTCTCATTCTATGTCTCAGTTACTATCCTCGTTCTTCCCACATCTCTCACGCCTTTCATCCTTGTATCACCTCATTTTTCTGCAAACTCATGCTCAGATTAATTAACAAGAGTCACTGTGTTCCTGTGCAGGTACAGCGGACGGGGAGCACCGGTCTGCGTCGGTCCTCCAGAGACCTCGCCCTCAGTCGCTACACCCGCTACACCCGCCCAGGTAAACCCCTACACCCGTTACACCCGCCCAGGTAAACCCCTACACCGATTAGACCCACATAGGTAAACCACCACACCCACTACACCCACACAGGTAACACACAACACCCGCCACCTACACCCACACAGGCAACACACAACACCTGCCACCACACCCACACAGGCAACACACAACACCCGGCCACCCACACCCACACAGGCAACACACACACACCTACACCCACACAGGCAACACACAACACCCCCACCTACACCCACACAGGTAACACACACCCCCACCTACACCCACACAGAGAGAGAGAGAGAGAGAGAGAGAGAGTTATTTTGGTAACCACCGACGCTGGACTCCACTTTGCTGTGGGGCTGAAACTCTAAAGTAGCCTCCGCCCCATACACCGGCTCCACCACCCACACACACACACACACACACACACACACACACACACACACACACACACACACACACACACAGTCCTTCCCTTTCTCCTGACTCTCTCACACTCTGCCCACAGACCTCGGCGCCCCAGCTGCGTACACGCCCATCGAGCAGACGGTGTCCCCGGGGTCACCTGTATCCCTCAAGTGCTCGGCCGTGGGCACCCCTGCACCTGTTATCACCTGGACCCGCGATCACCAGCCTCTCCTCACCTCACACAGGTACCTTAATTGGCTGTTACCCCCCCTACCATCCCCCTATAGGCAGGTCACCTCTCTATTCTACCTCCCCAACGTTGTCTCTCATCCTCCCCCGCCCCCCTTCAGCGACGCAGTGTATATCAAGCTATATATCCGCGTGATGTCATCTTATGAATGAATTGATAGCAAAAACTGATGCATTTTCTTTTTATCTCTTTTTGTCTTATGCACGAGTCTTCCCCTTGTCTTGATTCTCTCTCCTTGCCTCATGAGTCTATCCCATTTTATGAGTCTCTCTCCCATCTCAGTATCCCCTCATCTCACGAATCTCCGCCCACCTCACGAGCCTCACCTCCCGGCAGGACTAGCGTGGGGAGCTTCAGGACTGAGCTAGGGGAGGTAGTGAGTCACGTGAACCTGAGTGACGTGACGGTGAGGGACGGCGGCACCTACACCTGCACCGCCCACAACTCTGTCGGCTCCGTCGCCCACTCCGCCAGGCTCAACGTTTACGGTGAGGCGCCCCTGACTCTCACCCCCACTCCCTTACTGACTTAACTGATGTAGGTATATCCTGGACGAAGATTTTGACCTTACTACTAACTTGACAGCTTGTTGACACTACCTATGGCCTTAACTCCCGGCCACAAGCTCAACATTTTCCGCACCAAAATAAAAAGAAACTTTGTGACTTCTTTCTTAGCTGACACGAACCAATAATCGAACTAATTGGCCTAATTTGACCTCAATCACCCACAGTAACGCCATCACTGACCTCAGATGACCCCGCAGGTCCGCCGTTCGTGCGCGCGATGCCTAATGTGACGGCGGTGGCGGGGGAGGACGTGAGGCTGTGGTGTCCTGCTGGAGGCTTCCCCACCCCCACCATCACCTGGCGCAGGGAAGGACACGCCCTCCCCAACTCCCACAGGTAAGTTATTTGCGTCATACAGGTGAGATATGTTCATGACTACACCTGACTCCTGACACTGTTGACACCAGGTATAATGCCATAGTTGTTTTAGTAAGTTTTAATGCAGGTAGTCATCAGACAGAACCCGCACAACAAACTACCAGGGCCACACACTGTTTACGAGAATGAAACCTTCAAGTCAGGGGATGTAGTACTGTAATGGTCCGTATTTAACTGACGGTACTAATTACAGACAGGAAAAGTAGGTAAGGCATTCACGGTACAAATCACAGACAGAGGAGTGTAGATAGTGTAACAGACAGGAGGTGTAGAGAGTGTAATAGACAGGAGGTGTAGAGAGTGTAACAGACAGGAGGTGTAGAGAGTGTAACAGACAGGAGGTGTAGAGAGTGTAACAGACAGGAGGTGTAGATAGTGTAACAGACAGGAGGTGTAGATAGTGTAACAGACAGGAGGTGTAGATAGTGTAACAGACAGGAGGTGTAGATAGTGTAACAGACAGGAGGTGTAGATAGTGTAACAGACAGGAGGTGTAGAGAGTGTAATAGACAGGAGGTGTAGAGAGTGTAACAGACAGGAGGTGTAGATAGTGTAACAGACAGGAGGTGTAGAGAGTGTAACAGACAGGAGGTGTAGATAGTGTAACAGACAGGAGGTGTAGAGAGTGTAACAGACAGGAGGTGTAGATAGTGTTACAAGTACACCTATTACAGACAAGAGGTGCTGATGAACGGGACGCTGGTGGTGAGGAAGACCAGTCGTGAGGATGTCGGCCGCTACTCCTGCCTCGTCTCCGGCAGGCAGGGCCAGACTGCCGCCTCTCACACCTTCCTCCACGTCCTCAGTAAGTCTCTTTCCACCACGTCTGTTGAAAGCGTTTAAGAGAGTCAAAAAAAGTGTGAAAGTGTTTAAACTCTTCCACACTTTTCACTTTCTTAAACGCTTTCACACCCTTTGTATTTAAACGACTCTCAAGGTCTTCTCAATCTAATATCCGTTTAACCTCTCACACTGCTGCCCCCCTTTGCCCCCTTGTCTCAGAACCCTCCTTGCCCCCCTTGTCTCAGAACTCCCCCCTGCCTCTTCCCTCTGCCTCAGTACCCCAGAGAACGACACACTCACATTAACCTCTCCCCCTTGCCTCAGAACCTCCGGAGATCGACACGTTCACCTTCAGGAGTAACCTAGAAGAGGGCCGCCGGACTCAGCTGTCGTGTATGGTGACGGAGGGAGACCTACCTATCACCATCAACTGGCTCAAAGACGGCAGACACCTCCAGCACGACCCTGATGTAGAGAGTAAACAAGTCAGCGAGTTTGCGACGGTAAGCTCTCTGCTGATTGGCTGAGGAGGCGTCCATCTGTGTTTTTTCATTGGTGTGTGTGTGTGTGTGTGTAAGTACACACACAAGGATTAACGTGTGTGAGTGTGTTCCAGGTGTTGGTGTTCAATCGACTGCGGGAGCACCACTCGGGCTCCTATACCTGTGAAGCCGCCAACGCTGCCGCCTCCATCAACCACACCGCCACGCTAAGGGTCAAGGTAGGTCAACTGGGATCGAGGTAGGTCATCTGGGGTCATGGTAGGTCATCTGGTGGTCATGGTAGGCTATCTAGGGTCGAAATATGTCATCTGGTATCAAAATAGGTAATCTAGGTGTCAAAATAGGTCATCTAGGGTTAAACTATGTAATATGGGGTGAAAATAGGTCATCGTGGGTCAAAATAGGTCATCTAGGGTCATGGGGAGGGGGGTGGTAGTAAGGAGGAGGGGTACAGGGAGGGACTGATTGAAGTATAACTTAAAATTTAAATAAAGAAATAGAAAAAAAAGATAAAACCAACCTAATCTCACTAACCGACACGATCAAAAATAGTTTAATCAGTGACATGAAGTGTAATCAACGCCACGAACAATAACACGACCCACACAACACACACACACAAAGACGCTGGATTAACTTTTCACTCGCTAATTTACTTTACTGTGTGTGTGGGGGTTCACTGACAACACAACACATCACAGCACAACATAACACGACACAACGCAACACAATACGACACAACACAGCACAACATAAAACGACAGAACGCAACACAACGCAACACAACAGACTACTGTATATATCTTTCTAGTGTAACATGTGTTGATACTGGAACTGTGTGTGTGTGTGTGTGTGTGTGTGTGTGTGTGTGTGTGTGTGTGTGTGTGTCCTTGTTGATGAATGATGAACAATAGAACAACTATAATGGCTGTTCTTTCGTTCCAAGTCCCAAAAACTGATGTTAATTTCTGCACATTGTAACACATGTTTTTCTTTCTCCTGAAGGTGTCGCCGAAGTGGGTAGTGGAGCCTGGGGGAGGGACGGCGCTGGTGGGGTCGACGGTTGTGCTAGATTGTAGTGCCCGAGGCTACCCAACACCTGTCCTCACCTGGATGAAGGCCCCAGGTAACGCTTACTGGGTCCTGCTCTTAGTGAGGGAGAGGAGGAAGGGAAGAAGAGTAAGGGAGGAAGAGTAAGGGATGGAGAGAAGGGAGGGAGGGACAGTAGGAGAGAGGGAAGGAGGGAGGGACAGACAGGGTGACTCATGGTCGGGACATTTTTTAGTGACCTGTAGAGCGAGGCGCCATCACCACTAAGATCAATGTGTTCTCACAAACCTTCACTATTACCAACATACACTGCCTCTGATCTGCCAACACTGTATTTACACTTGGACTGACGAATGCAAAAAAAAAGTTGACATTTAAAGTTACTAAATATGGAAAGTTTGTTTATATTTGACGTTTCCCCCCCATGCAAAAGTTTATAGACTTTTTTATATGAATTCAGGAAAGTTTTTATTTACAGGTTATATTTGAAGCTGCGCCTACAGTAGTTTGGTTAAAGCACCACCCTGGCTTAGTAACTGAGTTGACTGTACTGTACATAATAGATGAGAGATTGATTAGTACTGATGAGTCATTTTCCAACATAATTAACTCCTAAGTCCCTCTAACACCAGAGAGTACAGACGACTGAACAATTTATTTCTTCAATTTTCTGGCCGAGGTGAGTTAACTGTGGACCCCAACACAGGAACACTCAATGACCCAGCACAGGAACATTCAATGACCCAGCACAGGAACACTCAATGACCCCAACACAGAAACACTCAATGACCCAGCACAGGAACACTAATGACCCAGCACAGAACACCAACGACCTAGAAACACCAATGACCCAGCACAGAACACTCAATGACCAGCACAGGAACACTAATGGCCCCAACACAGGAACATTCAATGACCCCAACGCAGGAACATCAATGACCCAGCACAGGAACACTCAATGACCCAGCACAGGAACACTCAATGACCCAGCACAGGAACATTCAATGACCCCAACACAGGAACACTCAATGACCCAACACAGGAACACTCAATGACCCCAACACAGGAACACTCAATGACCCAACACAGGAACACTCAATGACCCAACACAGGAACACTCAATGACCCAGCACAGGAACACTCAATGACCTCAACACAGGGAACACCTTGCGACAGAGCCCACCGGGTGTCACAATAAACTCCTCATTGTATATAAGGAACAATAACAACTCAGGTAGTCGTATCTACAGGAGAGGCGGCGCAGGACTTCCAACCTGTAGTAGTGGACGGGCTGAGGTCGTCCCAGGCGGCCAACGGGTCTCTAGTACTGCAGGACACCAAGACCAGTGACGCCGGCTGGTACATGTGTCAAGCCGCGAACTCGGTCGGTAAACCCATCTCCAAGGTCGTCCAGCTCACAGTGCACGGTAGGTGGAGAGGTTAGGAGGGGCGATGTAGGGTCAGGAAGGGTGACGTAAGATCAGGAGGAGTGAAGTAACTTTAGGGTTGGGTGAAGTAGCGTCAGGAGGAGTGAAGTAAGGTCAGGAGGAGTGAAGTAAGGTCAGGTGGAGTGAAGTAAGATCAGGAGGAGTGAAGTAAGATCAGGGGGAGTAATGTAGGGTCAGGAGGGGTAGAGTAGGGTCAGGAAGGGACAGTTAAGGGTGAATGAGGTCGATGTATTGGTTAGTGAGAGATGACAGAGGTCATAACGATTGGTCAATTTAAGTCAAGGCGGTTCACCTGTCATTTCTGTCAATCTTAATTAGTTTTAACACACCTGTAGCATTATTACCCGTCCAATTATCATCTATGCACCGGTCTTTCTATGTAATTAACTACCTGGTACCATTATCACACCTGTTCTGATTACCGCCCAAGCATCTGTCACTTATCTACCTGTCCTCGTACTGGTGACAGCCCCTGCACGTGTCGTGACGGAGGGGAGACGTGTGACGGGCCACGCTGGACAGACGGTGACGGTGATGTGTGAGGCTACAGGTGACGACCCTCTCTCCCTCACCTGGCGCCGTCACCACGCACCTGTCTCACCAGGCCACAGGTATGTACACCCCATCAATAATAATAATAATAATAATAATAATAATAATACACATTCTGTAAAGCTGTATTTGTTCTCGTTTTAAAGGCTTATGCATTTCCCAGGTAGTGATTTACGATACTGACATACACGATTCACTCCCTAACACATCACTCGTTTAAATTAGAATGTCTCAATTTTCACTATTAATCAAACAGGTAATTTAAATGCCTGTAGGATAAATATCAACTTATAATGACGTTAATTTTATATTATTTTTAAGTAATTTGGTTTTTAAATATAGTGTTTGTATGTAATTTCGTAGTTGTTATAATTCTTGTTACTGTGACCAGGACGGCAGTACGGGAGAGTAAGGCAGGTGGGGTGGTGAGAGCCGCGCTGGAGATCCGGGCAGTGACGGCAGGTGACGCGGGGCCTTACACCTGCCGGGCCACCAACCCCCACGGTGACCACTCCCAGGTGTTTGACATCGCTATTATAGGTGAGTGATCCTTACACCTGTTGATAGTGTTAGTGTACAGGTGTTACTTTACTCAACATCTGTTCCTCTATAACTGTACACACACACACATGCTCCAACTACAGGCGTAAATCCCATATTGCCACACTACACCTGCCCTAACAACACTTGTCCTAGCATCATCCACCCCAATGACACCTGCCTCATCATACCTGCTATACCACAACAGCCAATAATAAATATCCATCATAACTACAATACACCGCCCCCCCCCCTATATATTGATCACACACAAGCCACTATTGATAGAACCCGTATCCCTCCCTGGTAAGCCTCCCACACTTAACCTAACCTAACCCAACCTAACCTAACCTAACCTCCCACACTTAACCTAACCCAACCTAACCTAATCTAAATCACTAAACCATGCGGATTAGTAATAAGTAAGATAACGATAAAGAAAAACCAACACAACCAACACCTAATTCCCTCTCTCTCCTCACCGCCCACCAGAACCGCCGACCGCACCTTCCGGAGTGAGTGTGAGTGAGATCACCAGTCGCTCTGCTGTTGTCTCCTGGAGCCTCCCTCAGCCGGCAGCCGTCACCATACAGTACAGGGGTGAGTTCCTACCATAACTGTGAATACCTCTGGTGTCAGTGCTAGGATAGTGCCAAGATCGTGTCATTACTGTTACTACCACAGCAAGAATTCAACACAATCATCGTCATATTCCTCACAGTTCTTCATTATCAACACCATCCACTCAACTCTAGTCCTCTGTCATTAAGTCTTTGTCTCTCCCTCGTCAGCGTCGAAGGAGGAGTCGTGGGTCGTCCATGGGCGTAACGTGAGCGTGGGTCAGTGGGCGACGTCTCACGAGGTAACGGGGTTGGCGCCTCACCAGACCTACGCTGTGAGACTGATGGCCCACAACGACCTAGGAGTGTCTCAACCTTCCCTCACACACGTCTTCACTACTACTGAGGAAGGTGAGAGAACTCGGGCCTTTAAATCACCTATAATTCTGACACTGATACATACTACTCGAACCCACAGCACAGGCCATCAAGTTAAAATAAGTACTGTACATGTTCCTAGACCCATACAGTACATATATCCTGATTATTGATCCTCCTTCAGCGCCTTCAGGAGCACCTCAGGACGTACGGGTGGCGGCCGGTGGTCCTCGATCCTTACTGGTGACATGGCGAGCCCCTGCCCCTCACCTCACCCACGGGGCACTCAGGGGCTACACTCTCGCCCTTCGTCGTCAGAACCTGCAGGGTCACCACACCTACATCACCAGGGCCGTCACGGGTCAGTCCTCAGGTCGTCTCATGTTAAGTTGACTTAAATCTATACAAGTTAATGATTAACGTTAATATAATGCCTAAAAACAAATAACTTGTCTTTTGTTCATGATTATCACATCATATATTACTGTCTATTATCCAGGGTCAAGTTATATTATTATTTTACTAGTTAATTAATGCTATTATCCACTATGGACGCCACTAGACAACCAGAATTCCTAACCATATCACTCTATCGTCACAGTTTGTTTACATAATACACGAACCTAACCTAACCCTACGTGCTTGTTGACAGACGTGGACGGTGTGGAGCAGTACGAGGTGCGTGGATTGACGCCGGCCACACTGTATGAGGTGGCTGTGAGGGCGTTCACCAGGGCGGGGCCAGGACCTCTCTCCTCCCCCAGGATAGTTCACTCCACCAGCCATGACGGTGAGTGATTGGTTGGGTGGAGTTAAAGAGGGTTGTGATTGGTTGGGTGGAGTTAAAGAGTGTTGTGATTGGTTGGGTGGAGTTATAGAGAGTTCTGATTGGTTGAGTGCAGTTATAGAAGGTTGTGATTGGTTGAGTGCAGTTATAGAGGGTTGTGATTGGTTGGGTGGAGTTATAGAGAGTTATGGGGATACTCCCTTAACTCTGGCAGCTTATTGTAACTCATCTAAATAGACCTTCTGCCTCCTCCTCTCTGAGATCACTCCCATTAACTCGGCTCTCTCTCCCTTCGCAGCACCGTCGTGTCCGCCCATAGGAGTGTCGTGTCGTGGATCTGGACGTGGCGGGGTGAGAGTGTGGTGGTCTCCTCCGCCCACACACTGTGCTCACGCCCCCGTTGCCGGCTACACCATCATCGCCACGCCCACCACTCACGCCCACCATGCCACCGATAGTAAGTCCTACTAAAGTATAAGACAGAGAGACAGACGGCAACTCCTACGTCAGTTTTACAGACAGACAGACAGACAAACAGACAGACAGACTGACAGACAGACAGACAGACAGACAGATAGACAAACAGACAGACAGACAGACAGACTCCCCCCCAAACATAGGCCTCTCCTTGGAAGCTAAATTATCAGGTCATTCCCTTACCAAACCTTTCTTAATAAGACAGAACTTTCCACACCAAGTCATCATAAACTTATAGACTATAACAGTACCGTCTTCTGTAAACACATGACATTGTAAAATATATCCATCGAGTGGAAGTTTAACCCCAGACCAAAAACACAACAACACCCCAAAAGAGACAAGTTTATATATCCGTAAAAAACAATTACGGGGCGTGAACTAATAGACAACAACGAGACGCCAGTAATTATGTCAGAAGGAAGCGGAAAATGGTGATGTCTAGCGCCATACTGTTTGCTGTATGAGCCGAGCGTTAAGTAATAAACCACGAGCATTATCTCCACGTGAGGAAAAAAGTTTGTATACGTTGTACTGAAATAAATACATGACCCTTACCTTCATCCACGATAAACTGAACATTATTAAACAACATAATACATAATACATTATCTGTACCAGAAAAAATATATTTTTACTGTACAGTAATATATGAACCTTACCTCCACGGGAAGAACACTCACTACACTGCCTCCATCAACGACATGCTAAGTGTTAGTTATAATTAAACTTGTACCTTGTGACCTGACCTAACTTAACCTTAAGCTAACAGGGCTACAAGTCTTGCTTTATCTCAGCACCTGACGTTATCACCGTGAGGTTTCCGGTACTGGCGGGTCACCTGTGTTAGTGAGCTACGTGTAATAAAAGCCGCTCCCTGACAAAGCAAGACTCAGAGATAACACTGTTTTATACTAAGCAAAGTTATGAATGATATCTGTGTGTTTACTGTACTTGTGTTCCAAAGTAAAGTTTGAGAGTGAATTAAAATATTTCTGATCCCTGAAACTATTTATAACTTTAGGTGTGAATATCTCAACACTGCTCCCTGTCATAATGATGTCTGTAAACTGCCACAGTGTGTACTTACAGCGTCCTCATGTCTTAACCTGTAAAATATAAACCAGTGTTAGATACAAGGATTTATTAAACACCATCATTCAACTCTTGTAAAAATACAGTTTTTAAAGACTGCGACTGACGTGTTTAGCTAGATGTGGTCATGTATTGTATATAAACGAAAATAATAATAATAACAAAAAGAGTAATAGTAGTATGAGTCACCAGCACTACCATCACCTCCCCCAACAGCAGGCAGGATGTGGGAGGTGAACACAACCAACCTGGAGAAGAACCTGGATGGCCTCCCCTCAGCCACCAACATCAGCGTCAGGGTCAAGGCTTTCAACGACGTGGGCTTCAGTGCATCCAACCACCCAGTCTTCTGCCTCACTGAAGACGATGGTAACAACTGATACCTGATTGTCAGTTTATCCTAAAAAATAAAGTATTAACACTGTTTCCATGAACAGTTTAGGGTAATTGAATCTACCAAAGTAGTTGTTTTTATCCCTTACAACGATGCATCGATAGTAAATTTCCTAGACCCACAACTATAGCCATTAAAAACTATGTCTTTCCTTCTTGTCTCATGTCTAACTACGTCCATCTAACTCATCCACTACTAGCAACACTAACTCCCGTCTCACTAACCACACTAACTTCCCTCTCATCCATTAAGTTTCCCTCACCAGGTTAATCTCCCCCCAACTAACACAACTAACCCCCTACAGTGCCAAGCCCGCCGGAGAGGACGAGGGTAATAGTGACAGGGGGAAGTACGCTGCTGGTGACGTGGGCCCCCCCTCAGCCTTACACCGGCACCATACTACACTATACTCTGTACTCCGCCAGGGATGACCAGGTGAGAGAGAGAGAGAGAGAGAGAGAGAGTATCAAACACCAAAAATATTCATCATAACATACAGTCATCCATCACAGGTTAATGAAGGAGACACACATAAATCCCTCAGGTGTGTCAACCAGGTGTGTCTAGAGGTGACTCAGGTGATACGTGTGTTACAGGTGGCGGTGCGGGACGTGGTAGGTGCTGGAGGTTCAGAGGCCACCTGGAGGGAGCTTACAGGACTCACCCCAGCCTCCAGAGTCCAGGTCAGTACAAGGTTCCTCTATGTACAGCCTCTAGTACTGACGTTATACCCACTTCCAGAACCCATTATAACTGAACTGACAAAATATCACAAAGTGAAGCATTAAAAGTCACCCAGATATCGTTGACAGGTGTGGGTGACGGCGACGACGGTGGCGGGGGAGGGCAACCCTTCCCCCAGACTCGCTGCCCTCCCCTCTCCCATAGCCACCCACTCTCCAGTGGCTGTGGGCGGCGGGCGGACATGGCGGGTGGGGGCAGGAGCGGGTGTGACTCTGGGGTGTCGGGGTCTTGGGTCACCCGCACCCACCATCAGTTGGACAAGGGCAGGAATAGCTGTCAGCAGCGGTCAACTGACCCAGCTGCTGCCTGGAGGAGACCTGCACCTCACAGGTGAGTCACGGGGAGCAGCTGTTATCTGTGTGTTGCGTTGTCTCCACACTTAGTGTTAAGTCTCTCACGGGCCGTCATGTCTTGAGGCCATTATCGTTAACCAGTGAAAGTCTCGGTAGGGGAGTACAGTAGTCTGGCCTGTGAACCTTCATAGGACCGTCTGAGAGGCTGACATCACTTCCCTCAATACAAGTTTATCTTTTCACCAGTTAATGTAGTGACCTTCTCCTGCAGCTGTGAGGGAGACGAGTAACTACACGTGTTGGGTGAGGAACAAGGTGGGCGTGGACAGCCTCACTCACCAGGTGATAGCCGTCACACCGCCCTCGCCGCCCACTCTCGCCCTTGCCCACGCCACCCACCACGCCCTCAACCTCTCCATCATCCCCACGGGTGACGGAGGTGCGCCCATACTAGGTAAGTCTCGCTCTCTCGCCTCACACAGTGTTAGACCTGAAGCTCAAGAACCAACACTCTAATTTAATACTAATATCATGCCCCCAGGATATACTGTGCATCATCGTGGGCGTGCGGGTGAGTGGGTTGAGGTGGGCGTGGACCCGGCAGCAGGGGGAGTGGTGGTGGGGGGTCTGCCATGCGGGGCGCCCCACCACCTCTACCTGACAGCGTGGAACACCTTCGGCACCAGCTCCCCCAGCCCCGTCCTCATCGCCAACACACTCGGCAGCCGTGAGTGTATACGTCACAGTTTGGTCCGTCGTGTGTCCTGTCTAACATTGTAACCTACTTTACCTAACCTAACCTAACCACCACCACCACCTATTCTGTATCATACGAGGGAGCTAGAATTCATCTCATAATTGTAATTCGAAGAGTAATACCCTACAGGTTCGTGAATTTGACCTTGTTTTTGTTTTACAGCCCCCGGACGACCTGACCCCTCTAGACTGGTCGAGGTCAACGCCACCTGCGTCACGTTACGTCTCTACGTCTGGCCAGAGCTCGGCTGCCCCGTCACACACTGGAAGGTAACGTAACACTGACTCGTCACACACACATGAAGATAACACTACACAATATACCGTTATACATCTACAATACAATACCCTACAGCATAACATGTCTATATCATAACGCCACGAGACATTATATGATCTAACTATAGGGTATATTAACAGGTGGAGCTAGGGAGCGAGGAGACCAAGTTAGCGTGGACACCCCTCCACTCCCACGTGACCCGTGACACTGGTGACCTGGGTGTGTGTGACCTGACCTCGGCCACCTGGCATCTGCTCAAGGTCACGGCCTCGTCTACTGCGGGCGATACGTCTGTTGTTTACCGTGTAGCCACCACGGACGACGCTGGAGGTACGTGATCATGGCCGTGTGTGTGTGTGTGTGTGGAGGGAGACACGTTATCACAAAAGACCATAACTTGACGTCAGTAACCTTAGCGCGACACAAGATGATTCGTCACTGTGTCATGTCGTGGTCTGAGATCTACAATGTATATGAGACACAGTAACCAATGAGTGTGCTGGGCTGCTGACCCACGACCACACCTTAAATCACCTCTATTCAGTAAACTACCCACAAATATCTGTGTCTCTTTATTAAGACACCTATAGTAAAAATTTCCTGGACTACCTATAATAAACGAATACATTTTGGTCTATATTATTAGTACGTAATTAATAACTCTCTCTCTCTCTCTCTCTCTCTCTCTCTCTCTCTCTCTCTCTCACTACTTCCTCCTCTCCACAGCCACCATCACGGCGGAGTCGGTGCAGGAGGTGCTGGTGAGCGGGAGTGTGGGTGTGGGCGGCTGGCTCGACGCCCACATTGTGGCTGGTGTGGTGAGCGCCCTCCTGCTAGCCACTGCCTTCATCATCTGTGTGTGTGTCGCCGTCAGGAGGCGGAGGTACGGGGGATATAGGTGAGTGTGGCCCTCAGGTGAGATATACAGGTGAGTCTGGCCCTCAAGTGATTTGACCCTCATGTGAATCTGGCCCTCAGGTGAGTCTGGTCCTCAGGTGACTCTGGCCCTCAGGTGAGTCTGGCCCTCAAGTGAGTTTGGCCTTTAGGTAAGACATACAGATGATACATGGAGGTGAGACATACAGGTGAGTAGCTCTTTAAATGTCAAAGAATTCAGATAGTTCGTCTAGTCAGCTAATGTCCCTGCTTCTTTTGGAAGAGAAACACAACATATTGTTTTAACCTCAGACAGGCAGCAGTCAGTTAGTCAGTCAGCCACTCTAGAATAAAACTAATGAGATCCTGTGTGGCCAGCAGGCAAGGGGAGAGTGTGGACCAGAAGGGGGGCGGGGAGGATGACAACGCCCGTAACTCAGAGCTCACCCGCGCCCACCTCTACTCTCCCACGCCAACCAAGAAACCTCGCGGCTCCCTCGCCTCCCTCAAGACCCAGGATGATACTTCTGACCCCTATGAGATCTGCCCCTACGCCACCTTCAGGTAAATTGCCAAATCATCACTAAGTTCCGTAGTCTCAATGATTCACAAGATAATTTTTTAAGCTATAGTGGCCGCCATCTTTGTATTTTATCTTGAATGAACCAACAGAGTTTTCCCATAATTCACGAGCGAACGAGTCTATGAGAATCCAGGTCCACAGCGGTCCATAAGCACTAAGGTTTATTTTCGTAATGTTTTTATATGGAAGTTTCACCCATAATCCAAAACACATTTAACACCTCCATTATAAACTTAACCATCATATATACAGAAAAACTTGAAGGATCCTAAGTAAATTATTGTTTATTTTAGGTTTAGATTATCACGTCTTTCTTCAAACTTAATATTATTATTAATATTATTATTATCATTATTATTATTATTATTTGTATTATTATTATTATTATTATTATTATTATTATTATTATTATTATTATTTGTATTATCATTATGATTATTATTATTATTATTATTTGTATTATTATTATTATTATTATTATTATTATTATTATTATTATTATTATTATCATGATGACATAGTGTATAATATGTTGTGTGTTGTGTGGATACAGTAACTATAGTAAGACAGGTTGAGATAGTGGTTCTTTGTCTTACTTCTCTAACACTTAACGTGTCTCTTCTTACTGCCATTCTCTCTCTAATCTCTTTATTTATCTTTCTCTCTCGCTTTCTATCTCTCTACCTAACTCTCTACCTTTCTTTTTCACTTTCTCTCTCTATCTTTCTCTCTGATTTTCTCATTTTCTCTTTATCTATCTATCTATCTCTACCTTTCTTTATCACCGTCTCTCTTTATCTATCTATCTATACTCATCTCTATCTCTCACTTTATCTATTTCTTCCTCTCTCTCTCTCTGAGCCCTCCCCTCCTCTCCTCCTACACGTAGCGTGGGTAGCTCGGAAGGAACCTTAGAATACGGTCTGTCCCTGCACGCTGTGACTCCCCGCGACTGCCTGGACCACCCCACCACACACAGCGACCACCACGCCCAGCCGCAGTCCCCAGCCTACGGTCAGGTGGGGGGACGACAGAGAGCCCAGTCACACTACAAGGAGGCAGGTGAGGGACTCTTATTGTTTGTGATGTGGGTCTAGATGTTCTAGTAATTGATTGAATGTTTTGGTCAGTGAAACCTCCATCTAACGTATTATATGGTGAAAAAAGTCCGTTATATGGTGAAAAAGTCCGTTATACAGAGGGTTCACTAAATGTTTTGTGTCGGTACAGAGATCGCGTACATCAGCCGGGGTGGACGAGCGGACTACGGCAGCCGGCCTAAGTCCATCCCTGGAGCCCAGCCCCCTGCCTCCTCCACCCCTGCTCCAACAGCCGCCCCCGAGCAGAGGCAGTGGTCGGAAGAGGCCAGGAAGGACACACGAGGCCGACCTCATCGACCTAGGAGCCGCACTAGAGGTAAGGCGACGTGTGAGGCAGGAGAGAGTGTGGCGTGGGTGTAGGAGGAGGTATATGGTGTGAGGAGGAGAAAGTAACGGTGTATAAGATAAGGAATGATAAAAAGGCGACATGGTGTATATTGAGGGACATGTGAGAGAAGAAGTGTAAAGGAACATGGCGAGGGAAACAACAAGACGGAGGCCATCAGCCAGTATATGACAGGTGCCGTGAGCTGTTTCTCGAGAGACAATTTAAAGTCGTTCATTTGCCTTCTTTCTCTCTGTGTATGTCTTATTCTGCTCTTTATCTGTCTGTCTCTTCCTATTTATCAGCCAAGTTCTCTCTGTGCCTCCAGCAGAGACCCCAGGAGGAGGGAGAGACTCGAGCACTGAGAGCAACGACGCCTCGTCCCCCGTGCCGCAGCGCCACCACTATCAGCACCAGCAGCTCCCCTCAGCACAGCACCACCGCTCACAGCAGCTGGCCGCCGCCGCACAGCAGCACTCACAACAGTTGGCCGCCGCCGTACAGCAGCACTCGCAGCAGCTGGCGGCCGCACAGCAGCAAGCAGTAGTAGGAAGAGGGGGTCCACACCCGCTGCCGCCGGTCCGCCATGCCAGGTAGCCTCAGGTAGAGGAGCTCCGCTGTGTTAGGTGGACCGTGGCTGCCAAATGTTCCCGCCCTTCCTGCCTGTCTCCTCTTGCTCCTGACTCACTTTCCTCTTCCTCTTACTGTACTGTATACAACATAATCCTCTTCTCTGTAGCATAAGCACCTTTTAACAGACGTATCTTCTTAACGGGACGAGAATCTTCCATCCTTGGCATGTCAGGAAGTCTTTAGGTCTATGGTTCAGTAAACGTAAATCCCACATTTTAGATTCACTTCTGATGATGTTTATTACGGATCTTTGTCTGGGTAAAATCTCTTATGGGGTTGTATTGTAAATGGGTTAATTAGTGACCCAATATAACATTATGAGCTACAGGTTTCTTCTCTTCATCTTCTTTTTCTCTTGGTGTGAGGGACGGCGCCTAAGTCCTTCACCCTCCCTCCCCCACTATGAAATACTCCCCACCCATGTCCCTGCATGTTCGTACTTCATCCTTAATAATAATAATAAACAATTAATATTATTACTATTATCATTATTATTCAGCTGAAGCAGTGTACATATTATGTCGGTTCAGACGTGATCCCAGAAGAGTAGTTTACCCAAATTCTTTACTTAATATTTTCATTGTTAGAATTTTCCATAAACTTCAGTAGGCTATAGTTAATAATACACCTCCATCAGTGTTAGAGATATGTTGATATGTTCTTCATCCATTGTGTAACTGAAGATAGTAATTTATGTCAAAGATACATTATAACAAGAAATACAGCTTTAACTTTTGCCATCTTCAACAACAGTTAACAGCATCAGTATATCGAGTACTATTATTGGCTTTCCTCTTCATGGTGTAGTATATGTTGTGCTGAGTTGCGCTGGTCTTGTACAACTATCGTGTTCATGGGTAAGTGGTACAGTATCCATCTATAGAAGTACTGTACCTTTGTCTTGGATAGGTTAGGACGGGACTATGAGCATGTTTGAGAATGACACACAAACTATACGATTCTTTAGGCAACAGATACAGTTTTACACACACACACACACACACACACACACACACACACACACACACAATAACTTAGTTCTATCGAAAACTAAAAAAACATTATGTTACAGAGCGCGAACTGAGTCCTCCTCCAGTGACAGCTCGTCCTTGACGCCCCCTAGGCCTCTTCATCCTCCCTCTGCGTTCTCTGACTCTAGGGAGCTCTCTGAGGCTGAGTGTGACCGAGAAATCTTCCAGGGCCAAGGAGAAGGCGTTGCAGGCGGTGAAGGCGGGCGCCCTGGAGGATCAGGTCCCCAGCCAGCAGGAGACGGCATCAAGGCTGAACTGACGGCTCTACTCCAGCGTTACCACAACCAACAGCAACTCCAAAACAAAGATGACGACGAGAAACAAATGCAACACAAGAAGCGTCGCCTCCCAGAGAAGAATCCTTACACCATCAATGTGTAGCTTTGTGGCCAGTGTGTGTGTGTGTGTCAGCTGCTGGGATGAAAGCGTCTATATTTTTACAATAAATAATGGCTAGTCATATAGTGGGAGAGACAATGGTTGCTCCGTATTTTCTTTACATTTTTCTAGATTTTTCCAATGTACTGTTCTGGTTTTTTACCATTTCTTGCCCTAGTGTATCACCGACATGCAGCTATTTTTACTTTACATCAATTATAACACTCTCCTGTTTCACCGTGTGTTTAGAAACTGTAAAAAATAAAGTATATATATATATATATATATATATATATATATATATATATATATATATATATATATATATATATATATATATATATATATATATATATATATATATATATATATATATATAAAGATATAGCAAATCACAACTTCAAAATTTATCAAAAGGTAAGTCCTGATATATTGCGTTTTATTTCATAGGTCAACTGTGTAAGGAATATATTGTATTAAAACAATAAAAAATACAACTGTATAGAAAAAATACAGGTTTATCTTATTTGTTTATCCTTCAATACTAGTTTATCAGCAACCGATCATTTTGGTGCTAAATAAGTGAACTGGGACACAAATTACCCCTAAGCACGAGACCTTATGGTGAGAAATTTATCAATGAAAAAATATATTAAGGACGACACATTTTCACAACAAACTACTATAAGTCTGCCAAAAACTTCTTCCCAATAATATCACATCAAATCCTGCCCAGTACCTAGATGTTTACATCTGTGAAGAGAGACGAGTTCTGACAACAACCTAACCTAACCTAACGTAACCTAACCTAACCAACTAAACCTAACTCAACCACTGATCTGTGGAGGCTAGTTGTGCCCCAGTTAACTCCCGGGTTAAAATCTATATACTGTATGTAGCTTTATCTTGTGCCCTCAACTTGAAACATCTCTGTCATTGAGGGCGACGCTGGAGCAGGTGAAGGAGGAGAACACGAGGCTGTACAGAGAGTCCATAGCGTAGAGATCAGTTAAGTGCACTGACTCTATCTGTCTTCTGAAGGACGAAAGTGACGGTAAGGTTGGAGAACGAAAGTGACGGTAAGGTTGGAGAACGAAAGTGACGGTAAGGTTGCAGAACGAAAGTGACGGTAAGGTTAGAGGACGAAAGTGACGGTAAGATTTGAGGAGGAAAGTGACGGTAAGGAGGGCAAGTTAAGGTGGATTCCGTTGACGATAAAAACAAAAGTACTTGATTATCAGGTAAGATATATAAATCGAGCTTTTGTACAACAAGAAGAGGAGAAACAGACTGAGTTTACCAGGAGCTGTGAGTAGGAGACGTGGTGAATGAGATCAGACGATATCGTGTCTGGTTGGCAATAGGTGGGACAAATTCCTTATCTGCCTCAATGAAGGAGGTGATGGTACTGGCCGATGAAGGAGTGAGGAGCATCCACGTACGGGTACAAGGCGGCTATAAAGGATATTAGGAGGGAGGAATGAATGAAGGAAGGAAGGAAGGAAGGATAAATGGTTGTCCAGGGTATAAATTAACCACATTATTCGATAAATCAGAAGAAAGTAGCAAAAGTAACCGTATTTATCAGGGGAATTTTTTTAAGTACTCTATCAAACATTAAACTAAAACTATAATGAATATATAAAGTGTTTAAATAGAACTGAACAATGGTAGAGAAAATTGTGTCACAGAAGTAATATATAAACCACCAAAACTGACATCAAAATACACAGCAGACGAGTATCACAATATTTCCCAAGGTGTTTTCCGTATAAGTCAACAGGAAAACGTTCACCTTCAACCTCTTTCCAATGAATTAACCAGAAGAGTCAAGAAAGATACATGAAAACAAATAAAGTCGTCAGATCCCGATAAGCAAGACCTGAAGATCCCGAAATAAACAGGTCATCGAATACAGCAACAGTCGGCAACAATAACATCGTCACATTCCACCCCCGGGCAATGCCGCATTCCACCACCCTCGCCTCCCTCACCTCAACTCCTGTACCCTTCACGCCCAAGGTCAATGACACCATCCATACCTAATACAGAACCGAGCTCACTAAACCCCGAACCTCTCTCAGTTAATCCCCGCACAGGAGCCCAGAGATGGGTGGAACAGATAGAGTATTACTTAAAAGGAAACAGTGAAAATTAACACTAATGATCTTGTGTGGTGTAGGAGAATTTTGCAATCGTTCTCTCGTCTGTCGGACCAGAGGTGTGTGTGTGATGTGTAACGGGAGGAGGGAAATCAACCCCGCGAGAAGGTACTCAGTGCAAAGTTGTTATTTTCATGGAGATAATTCCACTGTCTTCACACAATTCAAATTCCTCTGCACAGAGCCCAACCAAGAGGTAATGTAGCCTCTTATGGTCAAATTACATGCAGCTGCAGAACACATATGAAGGGTGATAAGAAAGAAACATTTAGAGGAAAAAACTTAATTCTGATAAATTTATCGATACACCAAGTTGTCTAGAAGTAGCCCAGAAACAAACGCATTTCGTGGAACCAAATACATCGAGCAGTGTGTTAGTGGTTGACCAGACACGACAGAACACAGACAAGCAAGGTCATAGGTTGGGTCGCTAAGGTCACAGGTAATACAGTAGACAAGTAACTCAGGTACTATGTCTGATAAGAACTATACATAGAGTGGATAAGAAAAGCACCAGACTATTTGTGAAAGAGATAACTGTCCTGCTACTGATAACACTTCTAGGAAATGTGAAGAAAAAACAATATTTCACAAGCATGAGGATCAAATTAGGGAGGGACACAATAAGTTAGGTTCACCAAGCAAGCACAGAGGTTCATGACTTTGGTTGAGCCTGCGATGGATACTCATGGTATTGGTACTTGCATGTACTGTGTCTACCCAAATGATATAAAGATATTACATGACATGACTATGAACAGCCAGTAGCTCAGTACATACTAACTACATACTGCAGCGGATGTGCCAATGATTTCGGGGAAGTTGCCAAATCACTTCTCGTTTATTCTTTCTAATTAAGAAATTACTAAAATCGTCTGATTCAAGTAATAACTGAAATCAAAAAAATTTCCTGCTGTCATTTCTATTACCCATCCTATTGTCCTATTTCTGGTGTTGCTTTCCCTACCTATATACTGTACATGGAAATCACTATCGTTCAGAGCCTCTTATCTCTCTCCAGTAACAACCGATGGCGAAGATAAAAGTAAAGATCACAAAATCTAACAGGTGTACGTGATAAAAACGGAATAACTTGAAGTCTTAAACTCTTATATTCTGATAAATGATTTTGTAGATACATTATATAATAAAACACACGCATACGCTGGTCTTCAGTTTTCAATTACAGTCACTTTAAAAGGTTTCTGCATCAGTAAATCAAGGGGAATTTTACTATTGGGATTGTTTAATAAGGAAAAATGGAAGTAAATCACGGGAATAAAGTTTTTCTCCCCCACAGCAATAAGGGAAAATACTTGACTCAGACATTAAATACGTGGCATAATATAGTTTCATATTTCTTAAAAAACACTAAACTTTAATAAAAATAATTCCCTAACTTTAAATCATATAAATACTTAATATTACAAATCATTCGCATTATAAATATATTTTCTCGTGATACATTAAGCTAAGACATAGAATAAATTAATAACAGTAATGGAGAAATGTAACCAGATGTGACATGTAAACAAACATGGCGAGTGGGGCGGATGTCACTGAGACAACTCCACAAATTGAGGCAGAAATAGAGGCAATTACTGTGTCTCATCAACTACAAATGACAAATAACATAAATCAAGAACAATCTCAGATATCTCCAATAGAAAATGGCGTAGAAATACATTGGGGATTCTCTCTTTCAGAACTCTACCGGATCGCCCTCAAGTTTTTTAAAGGTAATTGTTTATTTGAATTTGTGACTGAAGTATATTAGTAATACTAGTGTTTTGTTAATGATATAATATGGATTAATATATAGGACTAACTCCTATATAATTACCAGGATAATAGTCTGGGGCACCGACTCGTGATACAGAATAGTTAAGATTTCTCTATGTAAGGAAGTGTTCTTACCTCTAGAATGTCCCCATCAAAAATTAGAGGAATTGCAAATTCTATTTTTTTTAATGGTTTTAGTCATTATTTTTAGTAATACTTGACGACTGTGGCGCGCCCATAGCACATAATTGATGATTTTTTTCACAAGTTACCAGTAAAAGCTTTTTCTTACCTCGTGAAAATTATAAAGTGCACGAGAAAAACATATGTATGTGGTCTGTTGATTTGTGAACACCATCTTTACAGTTACGCTATATACACAGTTGCCAGTGGGTGATCCTAGAGCTAAGACACCGAACACTCTCAGCTAACTCTTCACGTAAAATGTTAATACCTTCACTACTGGGTCGCCACTTTTTATATTTCATTTGGGTAACGTCATAATTTTATTCAGCTCAGAGGGAAACCCATGCATACGGTGCTAAATTAACATAACACCTTACCTAACCTTACCTAAAACATTACAGTCTAATCATCTTCTGTAAAAAAAAAATGTTAAAAGGAACCAAAGAAACATTTAAGATTAGCCAAATGTAAACAAAGGAGCATTGTCGGTTTTCCGGAGCTCAGATCTCTCAATCCAATAGCAGTGTTCAAGGAAGAAAAAATGTAAAGATTAAATTAAATGTTTTCCTCGTAACTATTTTTTTTTTACTTTATTGCGAGGAAAGAAAAATATTTTTTCTATGGTGGAATGTCCTCAATTACTCTACCCCAATTTTTTCATCCTTAATCTATGTCGACACGCTAGCTTCCTGTGACACCATTGTTGACTGTTTATGTGAGCGGCATATGACAAACGTTTCATAGAGGTTAACGTTCCATACACACCAAAAAACAGCAACTTAAGAACATTTTTGTATGGATAATTATACTTGGTAAGGCTGTTATACAGTACCCGAGTTACTAACAGGTTACGTACCTGGACGGCTCCGTGTTAATTCCATACAGTAGTTTAGGTTAGGTTAAAGCACAACTCTGTCCATACAAGACAATAATGATATTCTCTACAAAACAAATAATATAAATACTGCAAATATTCTTTGCTTACTTTGTTTCCTCTTGCTTTTTTTATCCTCCTGTATTCTTTGCTCTTCATCTAGATTTCTTTTCTCTTTTTCCTCTCTTTGTCATTCTTCTGCTTTTCTCCTGTGGAAACAACAAAGTTTCAGCTTAAAATCATATCATCATAAAGTACAGTAATGTGAAAAATGGCATTTTAGTCACAACCTGGCCCATACAAAACAATAATATCCCATACATAACAAAAAATGTAAATACTGTAAATAAAGTGATGTTAAACAATATGGAATAATGAAAGTAATGTAAAAAATGTGATTTTAGTTACTGAATTATGTGATGAATACATTGGGATCCGGTTCTTAAGTGTGGATGTTCATAACTCGGTGACTGCCTGTACTGTATATCATATCAATTTCTAAATTGTTTAATGATAACAGGAATACTGTACCAAGTTTATATAAGTTATATAATTGGAATTTTAATTTCTTTATTTTAAATATTTGTATAGTACTGTAACATCGGTCCTTTTGTGTTAATAATTATATGCTGTATATGTATTTCAGAAAAAGAAGGGAAGGCAGTCCATCTGGGATATGCGGAGAAATGTGAGTTGGTGGGGATGACACAGCAAGTGATGCATGGCCCCTTTGACCCTGTGACCTCGCCCCCTGTTGGAGTACTGGATGTTGTGGGCAAAGACAGAAGGTATGACCCATTAGGAGACTATATTAAGAATACACATGTACTATAAGCTAACCCCACTGCAAGTACATTTACTGTATTGTATAGTCTGGGATTTTGATCTTGTTGAGTCTGTTTATCTGTTTTAAATGACTTTCTCACTGTTTTCCCAGTTACTTAATCTGTGACAAAATAATTGAAGCATACAGTATATAGCTTTGAACCAGTGCACAAGAAATTAATAAAACATACTGTACAGGTACTTTGAATTTATTCGTTCCTGGTAACGACATTTATCTTGACCATATTTATAAGGCAGAATATTGCCTAATGCTTACATGTAACTGTTTACACAAAACTAATGATGTTGATGTGCACATAATAACATACCTGGTACACCTTATTACATATTATTTATTATATTGATACACTACTGTACTATCCTCCATTATGGCTGAACGGTAATTGAGGAGTAGACAGGGTGCAATGAGCATGAATGATGAGCATGGGAAGCTCACAAAGCACCTGGTCAGTCTTAGTGTCCAAATTTCAACTTCCTAGCCTAAACAATGCCTAGACAAGCAAGAAAACAAGTAAATGGATCACCCACTGAGTACCCCCTTACTGTACTTGCTTCACTCAGCATCTGGAGACAGAATTGGGGAGGGTCGGGAGAAGTGGTATACAATACAATATTTATTTATGATTATCAGACAATACATCAGAGGTAAACATAACCTCCCAAAACCACTGTCAGTAGCGCACTGCCGTGATTTTTGAGACGGGTCCATAAGATGGGCGTATAATGCCATTGGTAATGATTTTTAATCTAAATTGCCATAAATGTAATGTGAAATATTCTTCTACAGGTTGGCATGGCAGGCTCTTGGGTCCATGAGTAGAGAAGAAGCCAAGCAACAGTTCATATCCACACTGAGCAACCTGGTCCCAACTTTCCGTCCCTATGTTGAGGCTATGTGGGCTGACAAATTAGAAAAAGAGAGACTAGCGTAAGTGAAATACATTTTTTTTACCTATTGGGCTTCATTAGTTATCTGTGAAGTGCACCAAGAACCTTAAGGGAAAGCCTGCCATTATTCAGGGACTATGCAATGCTTATGAGCAGGAAAGCATTACTTGTATAGCCAGTGTTTTGCTACAGCCTTCACACCCAGTCATATCCTCGTATAATTACACATCCAGTGGTGTTTCAGAGAGCAGTACGGGCTCAGGTTAGGTTCTTTAACTCGTCATCATCCAGGTGGATTATTGAGAAGGGAAGAATGTTGTCATTATATCTCATTTTTTCTATTCATGAGTCAGAAGAAGTGAGGCCTCTAAAGAACGTCACAAACCCAACTCAAAATAAATATAGACCGGCTCCAGAAAATAAATGTAAGGGATAGATGATGAGGGCAAGTTACCAATATATGAAATGGTGGGAGAAAGAGGGAAATTGAGAGAGCTATCAGTGCAGGAAATAATAAATATTATGCCTTTAAGCTAAAACTTTGTTGTTTCCAAAGGAGAGAAGAAGAAGAACGACAAAGGGAGGAAGAAGAGAGAAGAAAGTTAGAAGAAGAAGAGCGGAGAAAAGAGGAAGAGGAGAGAAAAAAGCAAGAGGAAACAAAGTAAGCCAAGAATATTTCTTTCTCTAATCTGGTTTAACACTTTTAAAGTTAATGAGACAAGTTTTTGTGATTGTGTAAACATTTCCTTTAATATATCATCACTACCAAACCAGAGAACAAACCCTTTATAGAGTGGTGGGTGAAGATGGTATTGTTGAGATACAGAATGAACTAAAAAATGAAGAGTTATATCACACCATTGGAAACATGAAAAGGTGCTTTGTTAAACTGATGAATATTTTAGGAATTAGTGATAGATAAAGTATATACTGTACAGTACTGTACTGTAGGGTAATCTTAATGTGTTATTTAACCCTAGACGACAGATTCAGGAGGCACTAAACCAGCAGACATACGAGCAGTTCCGCAAGTATGCTGAGCAGCAGTACCCCGGCAACCCTGAACAGGTGAGCAGCTGTACAGAATACGGAGATAACGTCGGTGATAATATTACCCATGATGTCGATATGATAAAAATATCTCATACAGTAATATATTCAGATTAATCCTAAATTTAGATATACTTTAGTTCTAATTTTTTGGGTGGTATTAATTCATGCCAATTATATTTCATACGTTGCATTTTGAGGAAGTGGAAGAATTTATTGGTCACATTTGTGGATCTAGAAAAAGCTCATGGTAAGAAGTAGGTCGGAAGCTTAAGATTATTACACAGTTAACTTTTTGCAGCAAGCAGTATTGATCAGACAGTTACAAGATCAGCATTACCAGCAATACATGCAGCAAGTGTACCAGCAGCAGCTTCTCCTACAGCAACAGCAACAACAACATCAACAAGAACAGAACCATCTAGAACTAAATGAAGATACAAATGAACAAGTAAGTCAGAGATAATCTTTTCTTGTGGTTAATTTTTAGGTAAGAACATTATGAGTTATTTTACTGGAAGAGAGAGCAGTCTTGTCCATTTATTTATCTTCAGTACTGTAAAAGACTCCCCATGACATTTTATATTGACATTTTGCTGTTCTAGTCTACCATACATGTTTGATTTCTGCTGTAATGAGTATGAAGGATAGAGGGACTTTGCTCTAGAAACAGGGAATCTTTTTTTTCTTTTTTGAGAATATTTGTAATAGGAAACATCATATGTGTCGGAAAATGATGTATTGACGGAGGTGTTAGTAAAATACATGCCAAGTGATGGTGTATGTAGGAAATTTATCACAAAATAACATGAAATACAATTAGACAGTGCATAAATTGTGATTTATTTATTATTTTAACACTTTTAACTGCCAGGATATAAAGATAAATATGGAATTTGGTCACAGTTCATTAACCTTTCAATTTTCCTCAGACGGGCCAAGAGAGTCAGACAGATGGAGGTGAGGAAAGTTCGATTCCGGCAGAAAATGGTCATGATTCAGAAGGTGGTGAGGACTCAGACGAGGATGGTAAGGCACGGCAAGAATATGCTACAACCCTCACAGTAAACCCTCACTTTAACATGAACTTGTGTCCCTAAAGGGTTCATGTAATGGTGAAAATAAGGGGTTAGAGTCCAGGAACCATTGAGACCTACTGCTACACACACCCAGCTGCTCCCCACACCTTTCTGTTTCATTGTCTATTTTGTACAGGAGTGTATAAATACATAATACAGGTGTGAAAGACTAAAGTAAAATATTAATACTTGACTTTTTAAGAGGCATTGTCAGCAGTATCCAGTCTTGTCTTTCTGGACAGTTTATGATGCTCTTAAACTTGTCAAAGACTCTGGGTAGAGTTTGTTCTTCAGCACTTCAGACTTGCCTCATTACTTCTACATCATGATGTATGGGGTTTCATACTTCAGTTCTTCATAAATGTTTAATTCTTTATAATAAACGTTTCATGTTCATTTTAGAATACAAAGACATATATAATATTTTTTCTGCTTATTTCAGATTCGTGCCAAAACATTGCTCCTGCCTCCATGTGGACGAGACGAGACATTCAGGACTTCAAGGAATCTATAAGACGTGAAGGTGGCGACTCGGTCATTAAAGTTGGCCACGGAGAGACTGTCACTGTGAGTTTCTGCCAATTTTATGTATTATTTACAGCATATATTTTATTTCCTTCTTGGAAGCTTGGAAGATAATAGACGAGTCGTTAGTCTAGACCAATGGTTCCTAGCTTGGGTTGTGCGAGCATCAAGGGTCCCATAAAATTCAATAATAATAAAACAAATAAAAGCTCAACAGTTTATAATTCGTAATAGAACTCTTTTAACTTGAGGTTTACTTTAACATAAAAATATTGAGGTAAAGGGAGTTTTTTACTTAGATGTAATGTACAGTACAGTAATTGTCATTTTGCTTGAGAAGATGAAAGAGTAGATAGAGATGATGAGGGGGTCCCAGAACACATTGCTGTATATGCAACTTACAAGGTTCCTTTGCTAAGACATTGGAAGTATCATACTGGAAGTAAATGAGACACTGACTTCGTAATTTTTTGTGTTTTGGGATAGCTACATAATTTTACTATATATGTATGTAATATTATTTGTAATTAAAGTATTTTTTTTTTTTAACCAGGTTCGTGTTCCTACTCACGAAGATGGCACTTGTCTATTTTGGGAGTTTGCCACCGACAATTATGACATAGGTTTTGGTGTGTATTTTGAGTGGACAAAAGACTCCAGTAACGTGGTGTCTGTCCACATCTCAGAGAGTGAGGACGAGGAAGAGGAAGAAGACGTAGAAGGTAAGGAATTCTTATTTGTGGTTAATAAGTTGTGTAGGGAGGAGGTTAGGACTGTATTGAGTGTGTGCCTAGAGTATAGTACAGTACACTATGTATTCTTATTAATACAAAAGAGAGAGGTGAATCAGTTACTACTGTTGACGTATTATCTGAAATGCATTTGACAGTTACCTAACCTAACCATGTTTATTATTTCACCATTTCTTCAATACACTGTACAGTAGTTTTGATTGAGATTTTCTAGTCATTATAAAGGAATGACATCACATACATACAACACCTCTTACAACACCAAATCTGATGAGTTCATTATCATCACTGCTGATATATCAGCATAATTGTGATTTTTCTGGTTCTTTTCCTCAATATTCACCCCAACACATTAAAAAAGTGGTAATAAGACTAGTGAAATATCTGAGCATTCCACCAATGACACAGAGCAATACGTCTTCTGATTGAAAGTGTTTAACGTGTTTTGGTCTCAGCGGAAGATTAGTTTTACCAATCCCCTGCAACCAGTCCTGAGAAAGTTCTCACAGACACTGCTGTTGTTGTAAGTGGCAGAAGTGTGTATCTTTGAAGCTTTACCAGTTTACAATCAGAGATTCCAGTAATAAGTCTGACCTTAGTCTCAGTCACTCACTCACAGTACATGAGTTGCCCAAGGCATTGTCATCATGAAATAGGATGTATCATTCTACTTGCTTTATGGTGCACAATTTTTTTTTCTACATTACTGATTATATTTACAAATAATTCTCTTACTTATCCACATTATAGGTGAGGGAGATGACATTGAACGCCTGGCAGGAAGGAAGCATGAGAGTGGTAGACCAGCACAGTCGGTAATTATCCCCGTTTATCGTCGGGATTGTTACGAGGAAGTGTATGCCGGCTCGCACACCTACCCTGGTACGGGCGTTTACCACCTCAAGTTTGATAATTCCTATTCTCTCTGGCGGAGTAAGACACTTTACTATCGTGTTTACTACACCAGGTGAGGCGGAAAAGCACAACGCTGTTATTAGAAATGAAATTCGTCTAGAACTATTGGTGTCTTATGTGATGATCTTTGTTGCGATTGAGAATAAACTTTAATGGGTGAATAACATCTTGTTAATGCAAATAGACAAATCTTGCATTGTTTTGTAAATATTATATGCTAGGCAAAATGTGTGTGAACAGAACTAAGATATTGCAAAATAATGTCTGCTTATAGTGTGCAGTGTTCCACATTGCCTACAGTGGCAAGATCCTTCTGAGTCATGAGGTGCTCCTGTTATCTGAGAGACCTGCTGGTTCAGAAGGACATGTACAGCTAGTTAAGATTTCTAACCCTCTGCATTTCTATATTGTCATTGAAAATGTGGGACACTGTCAATGCTCAATGAAAAAGAGGTTTCTCAGTCTTCTCCAAGGTAGTGAGCGACATTAAGCTTTCAGTGTCTTACCGTGTAGCATTTAGTATTATTCAGTTTCTTTGAAAGTCTCTGTGGCAGTCGATTGATTAACGGATGTATTTATAATTCAACATGCTTGTTTAACTTGCATCTTGGTGCCACTCTCATTAAGTGAATCAATTACTTTCACAAACACTTCTGTCTAGTGTGTTCTGGTGTTTCTTTTATGAGGGTTGACAGGTTAAGTCAAAATTTACTTTCTCTTTATATTTTGAATGATTACTGCACAGATGGCAGAGGTCTGTTTATACCTTTGTACTTCCAAAACACTTTTCCCCTCGTGTAAAGTGTTTGTATACTGCTTTGCCTCTGTAAATATAATGCTTTTCTACTCATTTGCTATATATATATATATATATATATATATATATATATATATATATATATATATATATATATATATATATATATATATATATATATATATATATATATATATATATATATATATATATATATATATATATATATATATATATATATATATATATATATATATATATATATATATATATATATATATATATACTGTACAGAGAGTGGAGTGAATGATAGATACTGTACAGTGATGAGATGTGTTACTGCACTCACCATTAAGAGTCAGTACTGTAGTGGTCTATTAGTCTTTTGTATCTCTAAGTGGTGTCTACACCACAAGTTTATGGATACTTTCAATATCACTTTTCTATCCCAAAGTCATGGCTGGCCCTTTTGATAGGGTTCAGTACGATACTTATATCATGCACAGAAAATGCCAAACAAATCAGTTAGGTAATCACAACAGCAGGAGACAGAGAGTTCATCAAGTGGGGAGAGCAGATGCAGGTCACACTAAGAGGAGAGGAGAGCCACACAAAACATGCCATCAGTCCTTTGGGGAGTTGTGATAAAAGTTAATCAAGGCCACACCACATGTACTTTCAGGTCACAGACAAATATCAAACCTTAAGAAAATACATGTGTTCCAGCATAGGTTGAGGCACATCGTGGTAGTCAGTCTGGCAGACTTAATTTTTTTCGCACATAATCGAAAACGAGAGAACATCTTGGAATAGCTAAACAAATCAACCAACTCTCAAGTTTGGTTATTGGAGACTTATGGTAAAGAGACTCTGGATAAGGGAAGCATTCCTGTGTGTGTATATAATGTATATACAGTATATTTGGGCATTGCAAAAGTCTTTCAAAAATTTTTGTGTGAGTGATATTGCTTTAATGAGTTTTGTTTCTTTGCTCATCTGATTATATTATTTTTTTAAGCTAATGGTGAAGGACTAGAAGGATTAGGTGAGAAACAAAGGTAAAGATGAGAAACATATAAATATGAGGTGAGAGATATAAAATCAGTTGTAGATGTGCTGTGCCTTTGATAAACAGATTCTTATAATTTTACAAATGATCAAAGGCATCTTCCACTGAGGAATAAGTCTGACTGTCTGACATATAGAGGTGTGGTCACATCTTATTTCAGTTACAGTACAGTCAACTACTAAAGTCTATTCACCTCTCCCCCTGAACCACGAACCTCAAGATTCAGACTCGTGAACCCAAAGCAGTAGACCGATACATTATTCTGTCCATAAATGCTCCGGATTCATGAGTCTAAATCTCTCGGAGGTTCATGGGGAGAGGCAAACGGACTTTAGTACCGTGTAATTGGCTGTACATAAATAATGAGACTGTCAGACACACCTAAATTGATTCCATTGACCCATAGTGACACCTTCCCTTGTGTTGTTTGAAACTGAATATATTGTGAAAACTGAAATGCGCTGAATCATTTCTTCCTATGCAGATTATGGATGCATTTCATAGTCTCAATCCAAAAGGTTAATTTCTAAATTAGAATATAATGATGACCCTTTTATCCTGTAGAACCTAAAACAGACTCAAAACTACTTAATAATAATGAAAAGTTAATGTGCAAAACTAAGGTGGAAATCAATATACTGTACATGTTAAGACTTATTTATATATATTAATTTTTTGTTATATTAATACCTGACACAAAGCGTCTCTTGAGTACAGTCCTGGCAGCCTCATCATTCCTTGGTGTCCGAGTACTGTATCTACTTAGGTTAATGTGTGATGTATTGTTGAGTATTTCTAACAGTGCTTATGTACTTAATTAAAGTAAAATATATAAAAATACAAAAAACTTCTGTATAGAGAAAATGTTGATGCATTTGTTGTTGTACAGTACAGTTATAGGATTATGCAGTGGGACCCATATTGGAGCTCTTCACTGTTAATACAGTAATGGTATATTTTTGTGCTTGATTTTGAACAACATTATATTACATTATGGTGTGCTTTGATCTATCAGACTTATCTTTAGTTTTTAAATTAATAAGGACACTTTCCTGATAAACTCACAAGTTTATAAAATAAATATTTGATAAAAGGCTTTAGTGCTGATTATTTTCAAATATGTCTTAACGTGATCAGGTGAGTGGCAGTCCTGTATACTCTTCCGGATGTTAAAGAATACAGTAATATCTCCATTAGTTGGAATCCCTCAAACCCGTAACTCTCCGATAGCCGGAATTTAAATTTTATCAGAAAATCATTCCCAAAGCTGGAATTTTCCAGATAATTATGAGAAAATTTTCCCGATACCCGGAAAATTCCGGGGATGGGGGATTTTTTTCCGGCTTTGATTGATGAAAATCAGGCGCATTTTCTGGAAATTCCGAGAAAACTTTTCCTGTACCCAGAAAATTCCGGGGTGAGGGATTTTTCCGGCTTTGATAGATTCATCTCATTACCCGGAAATCTCTCATTCCCAAAATTGCTCTGCACCAGTTGGTCTGGCTAACGGAGATATCGAATTTGAGGACTTACACTAACTTTCCCAACAACTTTGTAATTGACAACTTAGTCCTCAAATGGCTGTAACTTATAAAGATGGTGTGCAGGCATTACATCCCTGTGAATTATTGTTTCATCTTTAGGTCACACTGTTATAAACAGATGAAAGAAGAGGCACAGTATATTAGATAAAGCTTGTTAGAGATAATACCTAAACTAATCATGAATGGATGAAATTAAAGCATTGTGATGGATTCTTACCATTTATATTAGGTGTCAAATAACAAATTAAAGCATAATAAAATTATATATTTTTATAAACTAGTATAGTTACTTGAGACTGTTTCTGTGTCATATTTAACCCATTTACTCCCAACCAGTCATAGGTTATGTAGACCATGGCCTAAGAACAGTCTGCTGTCTTTTACATTGAGAGAAGTGAGTTTAGGGAACTTGGCTTCACATCCTTAACTGTACTGTATGTACAGCACTAGAAATTAGCACATCATCTTCTTTTCTATTGAGAACTGTACTGGTACATTTTGTAGTCTCTTCACAGAGTCTCAGTGTCTTGCTGACTGAAATTCATGTTGTATAAGATGTAACAATGTTTTAACCTTAACTTCCTCCTGAAGGTCAACCTTCCTTAAGACCTCAGGCTGCTCTCTAATCATCTGTTAACTCTCACCAGTGCCTGGGATTTACAACTTTTCTGAAATGGATTCATATCAGAATTAAGGATGAAAGATCGAAGTATGAAATGTGATTTTATAAGTGGAAGACAGAAGATATATGACCTGTGGGACATCACCACCATAGCTCCTGCATAAGCTTGCTCCCGAGAAGGTCAAATAATTATTTCAAACTCTTAGTCTGGCAGTTTCTTAACCCAGCACTAGATGAAAACCTGAGCAAGTCTTATACTGATACACAAAGCTGTGAGGATGTGGGTCAGCCTCCAATAGTCTCTGCCAACTTGAAACTCCACTCAGCTGTAAAAGTGTATTTCATATTTCAACATTTCATTTATAGCATAAGGGTCATCTATAAGTGACCTGTGAGACCACAAGCCAGCAAGGTACTGGGGAGGTGGCTAGTTACCACAAAACACCCCAGTAATAAGCACACAACTCAAGGAAAGAGGATTAATGAATTAAAATCTTATAACGTAAATAGTGGATTGGGCAATTCATGTCCTGCACCAAGAAGTCTACTAGTTGCTAGCCAAGGGTTCCCAAGATTCCTGACTTTCTATGACTGGGACAATATTCCTGAAACTTAGAACAAATCTAAAATCCAGGAGTTGAATCTCCTAGGTGAACCTGGAGGAACAAGTTAGTCAGAGTGATCAGGTAGTAATTGTTAGAGAGAGGAGGCATCCACTCAAACATAAGACTGTACCTCTTTTGGGGCCGGGTATAATATGTCAGGCTGCCAATTCCTTGCCTGGGTCAATCTGTTCAGGAAGGTTGTGGAAAGGATATAGGCTCTCAAGGTAAACAGATACACAAGAATAGTAGAAATAATGGTGAAAGGATTGAGCCTCAGAGTAATCTAGATCTGATGTAAATAGAGAACAAATATTCTAACTTCTCAGTTGCCTTCTCAGGATATGAGAGTTCAGTTCTCAACTAGGCGGGAGACAGGTCTCTTCCTTTTCTGGAATGTGTTGCTTTAGCAGCAGATTTATTTTCCAGGTTAAGCTAAGAGTCGGGAGGGGGGTCATTTAGTGTCTGCAGTGTTGAATTCTAGGATCCAGATACTGTAGTACTGTATTTCAAATGCATTCGGAACTGATTAAGGCTTTACAGAGCATTGACATGGACACAAGATGTGGACATTAGTTATTTTCAACAGCAACATTACTGTGCAATCAAGTTAAAAAAATCCATCACTCGAGAAATATTTGGGATTTGTGTAAACTAAACTATCCAGTCTATTACCGTCTTCCTTGCTTGTCCTTGGAATCAGAAAATTTTCCGGAGTTTGGCAAGGAACATGTCATCAATGTATAAAAGTGGGTTATATGATGAACTCAAAACACATGTGTGTTGTTGGGTCAGATCATCCACAACTGTAGAGAACATTTCATAATATAAGTTAAGAAAGGAGGAGTAAGTTTCCCCACACTATTTTAAACATGTATTACAGTATTTCCAAACATTGGTCCCTCACTTTGCATGGGTTTGTATTCTTGGAAAATGGCATGTGAAGTGAAATTGTGCTAAACTCATAAAGAGGGTTACATTCCATACCCTTTTCCCAGACCAAATACCGTACTCAAATTCCTAAGTCACGAATACCTGCACTGTACTACACAAAACTTATGTGTATTACTTATTATGAAAATATATATGTGGGTCCTACTGACTTGACAGCCTCATAGGCACAGGGTGGACATAGCACATAGAATATTATGCCTTTTTTTCAGTACTGTACACATTTGTCAACGAGGACTCAGTATGCACTCGACAGCTGCACCTCACAGTGAGACGTTGCACACCATAAAAACCTAATAATAAGTAACTCACCGGTATCGAATGACAGAACAATAGAACGTATAAACCAGACGCTCGTAGACTAGCGGCGGTAAGATGAGCGCAGTGATATGTCAAGATTTCATTACCTAGCCAGTCTTACAAGCATATTTCTCTACTTTAAGAAAATACAGAATAATAAGATGTACAAGATGTATGTGTCAACAGTGCAGACAGTATACTAAAATTTACATGCATATGAATCTTTTTTATTATAGTGAATATTAATATTATAAACCAGTGATTTTAATGTTATCCTTTACAAGAATCAGACTTTTCAGAGCCCGGATGATTGTCTATACCATAACTGTGTGAGTGTGAGGGACATTGCTTCATCTCTTCTTGATATACTGTACAGTACTGCAGATGATAATATTCTTTATCTTCATTTTATTGAGCTGCATAGTTATTTACCACAAATATCTCACTTCTCTAGCAGTTTCATAATTCCAGTTTCATCTAAACTATTTACAGCTAAATCCATCCATTAAGACAAGAGGAGCCGGCCACTTTTTACAAGAATTTACGTCGATATATCATTCTGTATCAGGAATCACTTGAGCAATGTTTATTTTTTATTTTAATTAAATTATTACTATTATTTTCCTTTATTTATCATTTTGCCTTACAAGCCATTCGGGCAGTTGGTCTCTCTTATTTTTGTTACTCTGTTATTTACTTTATTGTCCAGTGTTAGTACAGGAGGAAACCAGAGTACCCAGAGGAAACCTTATCTCTGGTTGGGTCACACTGAGGATAGCACCATTCCCACGTGTGTCTTGTACCAGGACTCAAACCCATGACATACTGGTGAGAGATATATGTGTGTTTCCATTGTATCACCAACACCCTTAATGATTAGCTTTGGGTGGCTATGTCTTGCAGATTACATTAAAAAATACATACTGGGTATTTAATAATTCCTTTAATGCAGTATAATCTGTGAGTTGAAATATTATACGAAGTTGTCACCATTGCCTCCAAGACAACTCGGCTCAGCAAATTTTGATGGGGTAGACAATAACCATAGTACACAGCAGCTTTGTTCCCAGTCATTAGGTGATGACAGAGGGGGAGAGGGTTGTTAAACCATCACGTCACCACAATATTGCTACAGATTAGTCCATTATTACAGATTTCCAGCATTTTACATTTTTGGTAGTCAGAGAGAGGACAAAGATTATGTAACTGGTCAGTGTTATGTCAAGATTACTTTATTACTTTCATTCTCTTCACCACTGATGGGCTCGTTAGTCATTTGGGCGGTCGGTCACGTCTCTGTTACGCACTGTTGTCAAGTACTGGGCATGTACTGGCTCCTGAATGTATCCGAACCTGCACCAGTGTTGGTCAAGTCTGATTCTTGGGATCTCCATGAAACATTATAGGATCGGGGGAACACTGAGGTGACTTGGGCCAG